TCAAAACAAGCTACTTGAAGATTATATAAAGTATGAGATTTAAATTGCTAAAATTAAAAGTACTAGGTGCCATATTGCAGTTCATAGGATTTAACATTATGAGGATAGTGATCGTAACATCCATCGCAAGCATCATCCAGACTCAAGTCAAACACATGCTATCCATATATGATTCACTTCTTTCATGAATAAATAGGATGCAATTTTTCTTTTGGAAAGCATAAATAGGATAAAATATTTAGAAGAAACATATTAAGGATAGAGAGGAGGAAGGTTGTCTATTATAAAGGCTTTTTGGGGAAGTAGTAGCAGACAGAAAATGTAACATGCCAAAGATTATAGCCACTCCATGCAAACCAGAAAATGTGAAAGTACCCAGACCACGAACACAGCCAGGCAGATGGAGACAGACACCTGAGCCACACTAATAAAACATAGGAGCACCAATCCAAGAGATGATTATTTCAGCCTTACAGATGAAAATCAACTTCGGACCATAAATATAAAGAAATATGATGAACTTACAACTTCAAGCAACGTGAATGTTTACAGTTACACTGTTTTTGCTTCTTTGGAGTACCATCTTTTACTTCAACTGTAGGTCTTGTCCTTGACTTGGGAGATTCGGGTTTTCTACAAAAGAAATTCAATACTGTATCAGAATCTATATTTGTAGAGAATGCATTTTTTTAGAAGTTTTAACATTAAAGTTAAGTATTGCAAATGATTTCATATTTGTAGACCAATCATTTCATGCACTATCACTCCCAAAAGCTTCAACTGAATGCATCAAAAATTTGAGTATCAGGACTTGAAGTCATCATACATCATCCACAATAAAACTGCAGTTGAAGTACCACTATAAAACTGCACTTTGCAAATTGAAAGGAAATCAAGTTTCTTAGAATTACAGGAGGGCGAACCAAAGACCAAAATAAATGTAAAACAGAAATAGCATTGGGTCAGCATTACTAGAGGTATAATTTATTATTCAGAAAAAGGAAATAAAAGGAAAAAAAGCTAATAAAATGATCAATAGAGTCATACCAAAATCAAATCCCCATAAAAGGAACTAAATTCACTCATTCCTTTTCAATGGTAGCTCAGTAAAAAAGTCAAATGCGAGAAAATTTAAATTCAGACATCAAGATGATTCCAACCAACCA